CTGACCTGAGAGTCTGCAGCAGCCCAGCACTCCTACTTTCAAGTTCTGGTGCTTAATTTGCAGGGAAAACTCAGCCCTGTGTGAGTGAGAAGACTTGGGAAGACATGAGTGATCATCATGAAGCCTGGAGGCACTCCCATTCCCTGACATGTGGATCCCATCAGATGGGCACGTAGTGTGGCTCCCTGCTGATGTGTGTAGATCTACTCCAGGGCACGTAGTGTGGCTCCCTGCTGATGTGTGCGGAGCTACTCCAGGGCACGTAGTGTGGCTCCCTGCTGATGTGTGCGGAGCTACTCCAGGGCACGTAGTGTGGCTCCCTGCTGATGTGTGCGGTGCTACTCCAGAGGTACTCATGCAGGGGAGAAAACATGTGATGAGTTGGACTCTCCTGCCTCGCCCTGAAGGGTCCTTGGCTCAGTCACGTCTCCTGTAGACAGAGGAACACACTAACAGCTGCACAACCTTCTCATCTCCTAGAAAGGTCAGTGCCCAGGCTTATTGCTCATTACCTGATCACCACTGAGCACGGATACAGCTAATTTCAGAGCAAAGACTCCCATCCCTGTTGGCCTTCCAGACCCATTCTGGCTTGACAGATGCCTGCTTGTGGCCCTAGGCAGTGGTAAGGATCACACCGGCCCCAAGCTCATCGCCAATGACTGGCTTTGTGTACCCTGGGCCTGCAGTACTGCCAAGGTCACATCTCTGTTACTCCCTCCTCAGACAGCCTAGGTTTCCTTCCAAGGAACTGGGCTTTACCAACTTGTACCCCCTTCTCCCAAGGCAATGCCCTTGAAACAGAACAATTTCACAGGTCTGGACCCCATCCCTGTGGAGAGCAGCAGCTGGGGTAGTCTGAAACAAATCTCTAAACTCAATGTGATGATGTGTTCTAAATGACTCAGTTCACATCTTATAGGATATTAAGAAAAATATGCTAGAAGTGATAAGAGAAAGTGCTTTCAGATATTAGGAAACATGGAACAATTAGTGCTTCAAAATGCCATTGCTTGCCAAAGTTGCTTTCTTAAAAAATGTTTTAAACATTTTTCACATAATTTCCCCCAGATCAAGGTCATTTTGAAGCCAACTCTTGACCATAACTGCAAGAGTTCATAAATATTTCAGTGCACATCTCTAAAGGATTTCAATTCTTTCAAGATGAAGTAACCACAATACCACTTTAATATGTAAGCATACAATATTCCCTTCATAGCAGCAAATTCCAGTTAGACAGAAATTTCCACAATCGTCTCATTTTTCAATATCGTGTTATCATCCATCCAGGATTCAAGTACAATGCATACGCTGTAAATGGTCGACATGTCTGTTAATTACACTTGAAACTTCCGTGGGCTCTGCTGGCTTCTTCCTCTCCACTCCACAGTTTACATCTTAGACAACATGGACTACGTGCTTTTCAGAAATTTCCATATGTAGATATTGTAAATCATATTTCTATGAGGTTGTTTAGTTTTTGAATGTTGTTTTTGTTGTTTAGTTTCTAGAATATCCTAGAATATTTTGTAAATCATCAGTGAGATAAACCCTTAACAAAACTCAGCTTGGATAATTTGTTAAGAATCTTTCTGTACTTCTTTTTGGAAGAATACAATATGGTTTTTCCTTTGGTCTATGATGCTAGGAGCCACTGGTAATCATTACCCGAGTCTACAGCTTCATGAGAGGCTAGAAAGAGGGGACATTCTTGCTCCAAACCAGGCTGGATTTTATCATAATATGATCCATTCATGTAAAACAGAGCAATAGCTTTGAATATGAGCCTGGGAGTTACACAGATCAATATTAGATTTGAGTTCTACACCTCCTAATTTTAGGTCCTTGGCCAATCACTTGAACTTTCTATTCCTCTCAGTGATCAATGACAAAAAGGTCTAATATTCATGTTGACTTCCAAGGCTACTAAACAGATTATATTGGCTAGTGCACTGATTTCATGTTGTTCCACCAAACATCAGTGCAGAAACAAGGATTTGAGAGTGTTCCATTGACTTGGCAGGGATTCTGGGAGGCATGAGAAAGGGAAGAGGAAAGGAGAACAAGAAGTGGAAAGAATATGATTGATGTTAGATATTGCACCAGACACCAGGTCACCAAAACACCCCAAGTCACTCTGGGGTGCTATGCAGAATGAACCTGAGGGAGTCGGAGGCAGAGAGATTCGCCCAAACTCCAAAGTCTGCATGGGTGGAGGGGCATCACATTCCCACCACGTGTTCTGTGCTGAGCAAGGAGCAGAGACGAGGGTGCAGAGGGGGCTGCTGTCACCTGAGGAGCAGCACGGGTGCAGGAAGTCCATGGGGGCAGCAGCACAGTTTCAGCTCACACATAAAGTCTCCATGTGCTTCCCGGCATGCAGAGAATGAACGCTACCATGAAATGTTGTGTTATGAACATGTCCAAAACATGCTGCCCTAAATTGGGCTTTCAGTGCAGAGATTATTTTGCACCAGAGGCAGGAAGGGCCTTCTGAATACCCATCCCTCTGTACCTGAAAGCAGGTCATGAAGTTGCCCATGAAAAGGGGCTGCTCTGTGCTAGGAAGTGCAGGGCTCTCTTCACATTGGGACCTGGTTGTGCTGCAAAATGGGGCTATACGCAGAAACCTACGGGAATAACCCTGATGTGCCATTAGTGTCACTTGTGTGCTTATTAGCTCACACTTTGCTGCCTGAGAAAACCTGCACTCCTTTTCTTTGCTTTTCATTTTTTCACCAATCTGTCACTTTCGTCCAAGAAAATGTCTGTAACTTTCTTCCTGACATTCTGGGTATCCATTTCATACAATTGTCATGTGTCCATGCAAACTATAAAGTAAGACATGTATGCTTCTGTGCTATGTTAGTTTACTCCTCAGGACCAGTTTCATAGGAATAGCCTTTCGTCCTCCACTTGCAGCTTTACTGGTCACAACCTGCAGTAGCCCTAGTGCATAATTCATCTCTAGTTTTTCTTAATAAGGGAGCCTCTTTCCAATCTTCTCATAATATCACACATTCAATATGTATGTATTGAGTTAATATTCACATAACAACATTTTCAAGTGCATAGTTCAATAGCATTTACTGTACGCACAATCGCATGCACATCCCACCTCTACTAGTTCCACACATTCCTATTAATCCAAGGTAAAACCCCCTACCCACTAAGCAGTGCCTCCACGTTTCCACTGGCCTCTAGCATTTTATTTCTATAGACAGACCATTCTGGATTCCTCCCTTTGAAAGGAGGAGATGCAGGAGCAGAAATTTTCAGTGAAATTCAGTCCAGTGTAGGGAGACCAGCTGCTGTCTTGGCGAGAGTTGATGATGCTCTTGCAGCTACGTTAATCATGCTGACCACAGGTCACCGTCCCTTCAAGGAAACTGAAACCTGCCTGGCCATGGTTGCAGCCAACAGGGTCGACCTGATTTCAGCTCTTGAGATTCACAACAGGATTCTGAAAGTGACAGAACCTGGAGAACCAAGCCTGTAACTGAAGTGAGGTACTGAAATAGTTAGGGATCAGGTTCAGGAAAGGAAGCCACATGCCGTAAAGGTCAGAAGTTAAGAAGCACAGTCCTGACACGTCCAGGTGACAGACAGAAGATGATCAGCAATAGCAATAAGGAGGCCTGTGGTGAGTGCTCAGGTCCAGACCTCACAATATTTCTTCAGTCCTTGCCACCCATGAGTAAGTTCCCATCATTATTCCTGTCCTGTAAATGAGAAAGCTAAGGCTTAGAATGGTTAAATCATTTGCCAGAAGGAAAGAGCTGGGGTTTGAAGCCAGACGACTGATGCCAACTCAGGCCCCTTAATGAAGCCAGCAGATAAACAGCATTAACAACAACACAGGGGGCAGAAGGCACCGTCCCCAAGTTCATCGCAGACACATTGTGCCAAATCGCAGGGATCTCTTTTCTCTCAACGTTGTTGAATGAGTTTTGCTTCCTGTGACTGCAAGAGCTTAATGAACACGGTTCCCACCAGGGAGAGGCAGGCCTGGGGGGACAGAGCTGGAGGAAAGCTCCAGGCAAGCCCCGAGTAGGGGTCACTGGTGGCGGTTGCCTAGGGAACAGAGCTCCTCCTGGAGGACACCAGCTCCATCCAGGCAGCAGTTTCGCCTGGGGCCAGCTTGCAGGGCAAAGCTGGATAGGAAGCAGCACTGTTCAGGAGAGCTTACAATCTTCCTACTGGAAATAACCTTGAGCGAGTCTTTAACCTTGGATTCTAGTATCCCTGTAATAAACCCATGAGGTCCTGTCTCCAAGGTCATTTCCAGCTTCACCTTTCAATGAAACTACTTCCAAACAAGTCGTCCTGGGCCCAGTATGCAGGGAGAGAGTCCTTCAAGAACGGCAATTCACCTGCTCCAGTAGTGATCAACGGAAAACACTCTCTGAAATGTGTGCACCATAAAGGACCTTGGCTCTATGCTTCGGCCGCCTCACCCGGAAAACGTGTTTCAGTGACACACATCTTCAAGACCCTCTGTAGTTGGTTGTTTGTGTAAACAAAATTTGATTCTAAATTGATGTTTTAAAAGGCAAAAAGAAAAAAAAATGACAAAACACTCCCCAGTGAACTAAATCTTTAAGAATAGTTCATCTGGACCATGGCAGGTGTTTGCCAATTGAAGTGATACAAAATCACTCTGAAATTCCTTTTAAAACTGAGAAATTTATCATAGACTTTATACTTATTTATTTTTCACAATCTAGTTCATACAGTAAAGAATTGCACATACTTTGGTTAGATGTATGTGTGGATATGCATGTGTATGTGTGTGAGAGACAGTGAGAAAATTCTGAAATAAATGCAAGCCATTTAAAAATATGAAGAATTTTTAATGTGAATTTGATATTGAGTCCCAATGTACTAAATATGTAACAAAGATTATTCAACATTATTAGCATCACTAATATGCTAGTGAAAACATTTAATTGGTTCACCCAATTGGAAGAGCTTTCATGAGGAGAACCGTATGTTTCTAGGGTCTACACGTGGTGTCCGTTACATCTTATTCCACCATTGATAATCAACAGAAAGAGGAGGGTTATTTGACATCACAATGGAACGACGGGCTTGCCTCTGACTAGAAGGTAAGAACTTGCTTCACACTGTTGCTACCTCTTTTGTAATGCAATCCCCAAGGCCAGCTCTATAGTCCCTGGGAAGCACTGGCTGCAAGGTGCATGGCTGCAGGTGGTGAGGTGCAAGGTGCTTGGCTCCAGGTTGCTGCCATGAGAATGTTCTACAGCAGCAGCCGCTACTGTAGCAATAGGACCACATTAGGGATTTTGCCTTTCCAACTAGATACATCAATCTTCTGCTACTTTACTGAGCTTGCCAGAATGGCTTCTGTTCTTGTTCTAAGAACAACAGTTGCTTCCCAGCGAGGCATAATGTTGGGGAAGTTGAGGAGAGGTATGTTTTTACTACCTAGAAGAGCGGGTGTGAGTGTGGATGTGAGAGAAACAAGACAACTGCCGCTGGGTGGATGTACTTCGTGACTCCTTCCAGTACACGGCAGACAGGTTCCCAGGGACTCTTTCCTGCCAACAGGGTGCCTGGTAACTGGAACATTGCCCTTGGCTCCTTGGAGTGTATTTTGCTTCACTTTGCCTTAGAGGGATAGGGAGCAACATTGCTCAACAAGGATCCCACACTTGAGGTACACATCACAATTGTGTGACAAGCTTAAAAATACTTTTTGTAAATATTGACTCAAAATCTAACGTTGTTTTAAGCCAACAGCATAATTGATAAGGTTCCTCAGTGATTCTAGAATGGGTCCAGAAAACTCAGCTACTATCCAAAATGTTTTTAGAATCTGTGCCAATATGTCCATGTTTACGTACATCATAGCCACTGATTCTGCACAACCACAGAGTCAAAAGCAAGTTCAAAATGGTTTAAATCCCAAAGCATTCCTACATTTTATTTTAATGTGACCCAGAATGCTCAGCTTCAGCTCCTGGTTGTACCACTAATCCATCTGCCTCCACGGGCAGGTTTTCACTTCTCATGCCTCAGTCTACTTGGTTGAGAAATGGGTTCATGGATAGTCAGGCTGTCAGGATTAAATATATAGATGACAGGAAGGGTTTGGAAGTAGAATTACGACATAATTAACTTTTAAAACATTAATACAAATGATATGCAAGGTTCTTGTTAATCTTGCAAATTGAATCTCCTCTTTATTCATTTTGGAAACAAATACTGTGTACCTAGTCTATGCCAAGCATTGCCTTCAGTATTGGGGATATGAACACTCTATCACCTCCTATAGCTTTCCTTGTAGGACAGGAAAATAAGCAACAGACAGAAAACACTTGGGTACAGCTCACGGACTGCAGTGGATATATATGCTTTCGATTAAAAGTATAAAGAAAGTAACATAAATATTCACAAGTGGATGCCAATCTAATAGCATGATAGGGCTTTAAATCATTCATGGAAAGTATATAGTATGTAGATACTATGTGTGGATTTCAAAGCTGTTTTACATTAAGGCAAACTTAATGGGATAGGCATATGGTCTAGCAGTTAAGATACTCATATTACACATTGGGTCTGCTAATGTGTACCCTGGCAGGCAGGCACGACAGCTCAGGTAATTGAGCTCCTACCTCCCACATGGGCGATCTGGATTGTTCCTGGCTCCCAGCTGTTGCATTGGCTCACTTCCGGCAGTTTGAGCATGTGGAAACTGAACAAGCAGATGGGCATACTCTGTCTCTCTCTGCTCTTCTGCCTCTCAAGAAATCTTAGGAGCCAGTGCTGTACCATGGTGGATAAAGCTGCCACTTGTGACGCCAGCATCCCTTATGAATGCTGGTTTGTGTTCCTGCTGCTCCACTTCCAATCCAGCTCCCTGCTAATGGCCTGGGAAGGCACCACAATTTGGCCCAAGAGCTGAGGTCTCTTCACCCACAGGGGAGACCTGGATGAAATGCCTGGCTCTTGGCTTCAGCCCTGGCCATGGTGGCTATCAGTGGAGTGAAACAGCAGATGGAAGATCTCTCTCTGTTTTTCTCTCTGTAATTATGACTTTTAAGTAACTAAATATGATCTTTTAAAAAATAATCTTACTTGCTAATTTCATTTTCCAACAACTATTTGAAGTCCTCTTGCACAAACTGTATGTTAATCACTGTTTAGGCATTTCAAAGATTTTAAATCTCTGAAATGCTTCCCACAACTCTAACACCATGACTTCTGAGTCTGTTTATAAAGACACATAGATGCAGTGGTTTCCATTAAATGAGTCACGCTCTGCCTTTGATAACAGCTCAGTTCTCACCCAACATTTTGAGCAACAAAAAATGGGTGCATCTCTCATTCCCCTGGGGGAAGAATAATATTTAAATCAAACAATGGACTATTAATCGGCAAGGAAAAGTGGCCGTGAGCAAGTGCTGCTTTCTCTTTTGGCAGGAGCAGTGTCTCTCCGAGTGTTTACCTTCCGCTCTCCCAGACACCGCAACTCCCCAGTCCAGGCTCCCTTGGTCTTTTTTTTTTTTTTAATCAGATTATTTGTTTTTATTGACACATAATAATTGCACATATTTATGGGGTACAATGTGATATTTCAATACATGCATATATTTTAATGATCAAATTAGGGTAATTAGCATCCATTACATCATATATTCAAGAATAGAATTCTTTGTAGTATGAACATTCCAAAGTGTTTCTTCTGGCTATTTAGAAATACACAATGTTATTGTTAAATATTGTTACCCTACTGTGCAATGGAACACTAGAAGAATTATTTTACAATAAGGAAGAAAATGTTTTAATTCAATAAAAGTAAACCTTTCTGAGGTTTAATTTATTTATTTTATTTTATTATAATTAGGCATTCTTTATGTTTTGAGAAACTTAATTAACTTTGACAAGGAACCCAAGAATGATACATCTTTTGAAAGCACTTAGACATAACTATAGCTTATGAAACATAATATCCTCTACTGAATACATTAAAATGAAGTAAATATTTGAGAACAGGTTTTACTATTAACTCTCATAATCCAACTCTTTGAGGACAGAAGTCCTGCATGGGAAGTAAGTGCACAGTGATTCCTGTTGTTAATTTAACAATTAACACCCTTATGTATGATCTCAGTGATCACCCAAGGCTCTTGACATGAGCTGCCTAGGCTATGGAAGCCTTTTGAATCCACAAACTCCATCAGTATTCAGACAAGGTCATATGCAGAGTGGAAATTCTCTCCTTCCTTCAGAGAAAAGTACATCCTTCTTTTAGGACCACTTCTTTCCACTGGGGTCTCACCCACAGAGGTCCTTCATGTAAGACACTTTTTGCCACAGTGTCTTGGCCTTCCATGCCTGAAAAGTTTTCATGGGCTTTTCAGCTAGACCAAAATGCCTAAGGGTTTATTTATTTATTCTGAGGTCAGAGTGCTACTTAAAGCACTTTCTGTGGTGTATGATGTAACATTTCCTTTTTCATCTCTAATTTTATTAATTTGTGCTTTCTCCTTTTTTGTAAGTTGGGTCAGTGTTGTGTCAATTTTGCTTATTTTTTCAAAGAAACAGCTCCTCATTTTGCAGATTTTTTTTTGTTTCGATTTTATTTCTTCTCTAATTTACATTTTCTCTCTTCTCCTACTAATTTTGCATTTGATTTGCTGTTCTTTTTCTATGTTCTTGAGATTTATTAATAGGTCATTATGTGGTGACCTTCAAATTTTTGATGTAGGCAGGAATTGCTATAAACTTTCCTCTCTGCACTGCTTTTGCTGTATTCCATAAGTTTTGATATGTTGTGTTGTCATCTTTATTTGTTTCCAGAAATTAATTTATATTTTGATCTTCTATGAAGCACCAATCATTCAGGAACTTGTTTTTCAGTTTCCATAAATTCTAGAGAGTCTTGAGTTGCTGATTTCCAGCTTCATTCCTTTGTGGTCAGAGAAGATGCATGGTATGATTTCGATTATTTTGAATTTGCTGAAACTTGTTTTATGGCCTAACATGTGGTCCATTCTAGAGAATGTTTCATGTACTATTGAGAAGAATGTGTATTCTGCAACTATAGGGTGGAAAATTCTGTAGATATCTGTTCGGTCCATTTGGTCTACAGTATTGATTAACTCTGCTGTTTCCTTGTTGATTTTCTGTCTGCTTGATCTGTCCATTGCTGAAAGTGGGCTAATGAAGTCCCCTGTTCCTATTGTATTGGAGTCTAAGTCTCCCTTTAGATCCATTAACATTTCTTTTAAATTGCAGGTGCCCTGTAATTAGGTGCATACACGTTCATGATAGTCACTTCTCCCTGTTGAATCATTACATAGTGCCCTTCTTCGTCCCTTTAACTGTTTTTATGTTAGTCTATTTTGTCTGATATCAAGATGTTATACCAGCTCTGTTTTGGTTTCTGTTAGCATGGAATATCTTTTTCCATCCTTGCACTTTCAGTCTGTGAGTATCTTTCTTGGTGAGATGTGTTTCATTTATATAGCAAATAGATGGGTTTTATTTTTAATCTATTCAGCCAGTCTGCGTCTTATAACTGAAGAGTTGAGGCCATTTACATTCAAGATGACTATTGATAAGTAATGACTTTGACCTCCCAGTTTTCTATAAAATCATTTTTTACTTTGTACTTTTACTGGTAGATTTTCTGCCTTCACCTTCTTTCGTAGTGATGACCATGTTTTTGTGTTTCTGTGTGTAGCACATACATAAACATATTTTTTAAGTCTGGACAACTGGTGACAAATTCAATTTCTGTTTGTTATGGAAGGTCTTTATTTCATGTTCGTTAATGAATGAGAGCTTTGCAGGATATAGTATTCTGGGTTGACAGTTTTTTTCTCTTAAGACTTGGAATATATCTCGCCATTCTCTCCTAGCCTGTAGGGTTTCTGATGAGAAGTCAGCTATGAGTCTAATTGGAGATCTTCTGAAAAAAAAAAATCTGGTGTTTCTCTTGTGCACTTTTTACAATATTTTCTTTATGTTTTCTGTGGTGAGTTTGATTACAATGTGTTGTGGTGAGGATCTTTTCTGGTCATGTCTATTGGAAGTTCTATGTGCTTCCTAGACTTGGATGTCTGTCTCTTT